ATTTGTTTTTAATAATTTTATTGTCCCTACTGAGCCTTAACCGTATTTGGCAATAACCTGAACCTGAAACCGTATCTTGAATGTTGAGTCAATGGTACTATATAAATGTAATAGTGATTTCAAGAATGGTTATGCTGCAAAACTATCAGCAATAACGTAGTAAAAATTGTAGTATAAAAGATTGAAGTGGTCAGCACAAGTTTTCATAAGCCGGAAGTAAGTAACTGCCTGTTTTAAGGGATGAACACTTTTCTATGATACTAGTTTTTGGACACATAGAATAGGCTATTTAAGCAAATATCCATTTCGATGTTTAGGTTTTGTCGCCTTCTTTTACATATAAATAAACCGACTGAGGTCAACACCAATTTATGGCGATGGTTTTATTTAAATACCATCTGTATCTTTTTTTTGGCGGGCTCCTCCCATTTTTGGAATTCTGTCCCGCAGCTTGAGTTTCTTGGCTTTCTCGGTGATTTCTTTGTCATCACCGCTGGTTTCATCCAGGAGTTGTTCTTCCTCGGAGTTTGTGACCATTAGCTCACCCTGAGTTCCATCGATCTCTTGGTTGAGCTCTGAACTTACAGTAGTTTGGGGAGCTTCATCCACTGGAGGTGCCATAAGGACCTCTGCTGTTTGAGGAATTGCTTCCCCTGCGTTTTGAGGCACTAATGCCTGTGTTTGTTGAGTCATTTCTGCCTCTGAATTGGTTGTTTTTTTTGGCTTCCGCCGTTTTTGTCTCCATGTTTGTCCCACGAGTACCGAGTTTCTACAGTCCACCTCTCCAGTGACCCGATTAGAGAGGTAAGGGGTACATACTGCTGGGTTTCCCCTGGTGCCCAGCAGGCTCCGTTTGAGACACTCTTGATTTAGGCCCCCAGTGCCACGAGACTCTCAGCACGGGTCGCATTCCACCTTAGCCCAGGGCCCGCAGTGCTCAGGCATAGTTCCTGCTATACCCGAACGTCTGGGTGAGCGTCCTGTTCTCAGAGAGGCAAGCCTCGTCCTAGGCCAGTTACGAACACCCAGTTCTGGTGATGCTGCTGCCCCACACCAGGGAGTCTTTCGGGACTCCAGCCTAGATCCGCCGAGATCAGCGTGACAGGGGCCACGACATGAACGGTGCAGTCATCGGACTACACAGGCCTGCACTTCATTTTTTGTGCTGACCTTCTCGGACGGTCTTGAGCACCATTATGATGCCCCTGGGAGCGAAATAGTTCCTCAGTTGCAGATGTCAATGCAGCCTTGGCTGTCCGAGGAACTACCGCACCCCCTTAACCCCCTTTATTTAAATAAGAGCAATCTTAATCAATAATTCTGAATTGGGGAAAACTGGCGAGAGTGTAGATGCAGCTTTTGTTAAACCTTCTTGAAGCATTTCCACTTTTACTTCGTAGATATTTGATCATAAGTGTACTTGGTGATCGAACGTGGGGAAAACTAATTATAAGTAGCCTAGGCCTACAGAATTTAGTTCAAACAGTCTGTTCAAAGGTATCCCTACAGATGTTCTTTAACGATTTCTATGTAATGGGATAAAATAATATCCTGTAATTGGGTGAATATGTATCTGCTGTATCTTGTAATGTATGTATCTGCTGTATCCTCTAATGTATGTATCTGCTGAATCCTGTAATGTATGTATCTGCTGTATCCTGTAATGTATGTATCTGTCGTATCCTATAATGTATGTATCTGCCGTATCCTGTAATGTATGTATCAGCCGTATACTGTAATGTATGTATCTGCCGTATCCTGTAATGTATGTATCTGATGTATCATGTAATGTATGTATCTCCTGTATCCTGTAATGTATGTATCTGCTGTAACCTGTAATGTATGTATCTGATGTATCCTGTAATGTATGTATCTGCTGTAACCTGTAATGTATGTATCTGCTGTATCCTGTAACGTATGTATCTGCTGTATCCTATAATGTATGTATCTGCTGTATCCTGTAATGTATGTATCTGATGTATCCTGTAATGTATGTATCTGTTGTATCCTGTAATGTATGTATCTGCCGTATCCTGTAATGTATGTATCTGATGTATCATGTAATGTATGTATCTCCTGTATCCTGTAATGTATGTATATGCTGAATCCTGTAATGTATGTATCTGCTGTATCCTCTAATGTATGTATCTGCTGTATCCTGTAATGTATGTATGTGCTGTATCCTGTAATGTGTGTATCTGATGTATCCTGCAAAGTATGTATATGATGTATCCTGCAATGTATGTATCTGCTGTATCCTGTAATGTATGTATCTGCTGCGATGATTATTTTGTTTATTTTGTTTCTTATGCTTTATAGCGCAACACTAGACTAGATTATCTAGACTTAACAAAACTGGTAACAGCTAATAAAACTAATTAATTTTAAATTGCTACATAATGCAAATTCACTTAGTTTTCCAACATTGGTGGTAAAGTCCCCAGACTCTCAATAGGGTCGATGGATAATCAAGGCCTGCTTATCATGTTAAACTCTAATCACTATGTAACCCCTTGTATTGCCTGTTAATTATGTTTTAATCCATCCCTGATTCTACATATTCAACATTAATCATCCTAAACTTGGTCTTGTCGTTTTATTCATACTTTGTGGTACTTGATATTATTGAAGATATAACTGTAATATTTTAATTGGAAACTAAATGCAATAAGATTAAGACTACAAAACATACATCAACTAGCTAATAATTGTTTTCAATTATGTTTTTTGTAATAATACATTAGTATAAAGGATGTTATGTGAAACATTACATTCTGCAATATATTTTAAATTAGGACACGCGGTAGAATTGTATTTATATTGTTTATACTTTACACGTTTGTCTACATAATGCATAGTGAGAAATATATTTATTTTTTACCAAATCTGCGCAGATTTACCTAGAAACATATTACCACATGTATATCTTTCAATATTTTGTTTAAAGGATTATTGCGAACATTTTCCATCACGATGGCAAAAACAATATACAACGTTTCGGGATCTGGAATCTGATCCCGTCCTCAGGTGAAAAAAACTTAACTAACCCATTACAACTAACAATACACAAACGCCCAACCTAAGTTGGAATACACTACATAGAGTAGCAGTAAAAAAATATGCACTGTATAGCAGTCAAGTCATGATACAATAACATGCAAATAATAACCAATCACAAAACACATACAGTATATAAAAGGTGTAGGGTAAGTTGTGTATTGTTTTTTTTATTTTTTTTACCATCGTGATGGAAAATGTCTGCAATAAACCTTTAAACATTAATAAAGCATCGGGTCTGTTGAAATCGTGAGGGTGGAAGATCCGCCATAAGAGGTTGTGTGGGTTTAGCTTTCGTATTGTAGCAAGTGATACATCGAAATAATCGTTTTCTTATACGATTTCATGCACCAATAATCCAGAAGCGTCTTTGAATTAATGGTTGTACTAGTTTTGGACCACCATGTAGAGAATACAAGTGATAGTAATCACATAAGGGGTTTGCTAAATGACACTGAGAGGGTATCAATACAGGGTGTTTTGATGATTCAGGCAAGTGCAACTATTAAATATCTTGTATTTAATAGTTATTTATCCAAGGTTAAACTGATGGCTAGGTTTTTTTTTGTTTTTTTTTTTTTTGGGGGGGGTTATGTTTGTTTAAGTGAATTTCCCGACTATGGAATAACTTTTTCGTTTTGAGGTCCCCAGAGGCCAAAAACACAATCCTTTTAAATTCATGTATACGGTATACAGTATGTCCGTTAGCGCGATAACTCATTAAAAATTAAACGATTTTGATTAAATGTTTGTTCAAACGTATACCTTTAAACCTACGTTTATTTAAACGAGTTAGCGAACCAGCATGATTGGACTATGGGAACCCTCGTTTATGTGGATTTTTATGTGGTAAAAATTAGTTTTTACAACCTAAATCATTTTCTAGAACTTCCTAGACTTTTATATATTAAATAATGAATTTATTAGTGAATTTCTCATAATTATAGGGAATAAGCTATTGCCGTTGTACTCACGGAAAGACCTGGACCCGGGACCGAATTACTATTTTCGTTTTGAGATCCCTAGAGTACAAAAACACCATTCGTTCAAATTCACATATAAATGTATATGTCCGTTAGCACGATAACTCGACTACTACCCGGCTACTATCCGATTTTGATAAAATTTGGTACAAATCTGTCAAAATGTGTAAACCTACATTTATTCGAAGGAGTTCGCGAACCAGCATGATCCGACTATGGGAACGGGGGTTAATGAGGGATTTTATGGGGTAAAAATTGGGTTTTCCCATTTTTTTTCCTAAAAACATAAAACTTTCAATTTATTTAGAGCCGTTTTTGTAGAGCTCAAAAAAATAAACAATTTAGTATGTTGAAGAGTTTTTTTTTTTTTATCCTAATAGTTACGGAGAAAATTCCAAAACATGTTTAATTAAAATTCGCATGTTATTCTTACGGAGGCTAAGTAAACTGTTTGCTTGTTTATGCACATTTTTTATTCAATTTGGAAAATGCATTTATTTCATACTAAACTATTAACATTTTACAAAAAACACATTTCTTACCCTCCCTGTTACAGCAAACCTAATTAATCGTTAAACTAATGCTATTAAAATAGGGAATAGTGTGATATTTTTAAGGAGATATTTTAGTGTAAATCTAATCAGGCTAATGGAAATTCGCTTCGTCTTCAGGTTTGCTGTGGCGGGGGTATTTTTTTCTCTTGTAGCTATCCTCATCTGCATATTTTATTTCCTCTGTATTTATTGTTTTTTCTCCTGTATTCATTATTGACAAACGTAAACCAACATGATACCTTTTTTACTTTTCCACATACAATAACTGTGTTGTCTAACTGGAAATAAACATTCGCAGACTGTTCTTCTGAATCGCTCATTCGGTTGCTTTTATCGGTAAATCGCAAACTGGTTGAGTGTTGTGAGTGGTTCAGGGTTCTTCTGTTCAGTATCAGTATCAGTCTCAGTCTGCCTCAGTTCAGTATCAGTAGGTAGTGAACCAGTCAAGTGTGCGAGATCCAGTCTCGCTTCTCAGTTTACTGTGTCAACAACTTCATATCATCCGACCCTCTGAAGCGAGTAAGTTAGTTGTGTATTTATTGTAATGTTGGCTAATTTTTTGTAGCTATTTGAGGATGAGAATATTTTTTCCCGTTAGATAAATACATCGCTATTGGCATCGTCACTAATGAGCTAAAAACAAAGCCAAACAAGGGAAACTGCACATTCACATGGAAAACAACATTTAATCTATAAATTTTAAATTAGATGAGAGTTTTTAATTACAGCTTACACTTTCGAAAGAACACTCGTTGCTTAATTGGTTTATTTGTAACAAAATCCAATTGAGTTCAAGGCTGAACTCTAAACAGCTGATTTGATAAGAGGAGAGAAACTTGGAGATAGAGAGAGAGAGAGAGAGAGAGAGAGAGAGAGAGAGAGAGAGAGAGAGGAGAGAGAGAGAGAGAGAGAGAGAGAGAGGGTGAGGGAGAGGGTGAGGGAGAGGGGGGGTTTATACTATAACCCAGCATCAAGTCAATATTGTGTTAGTGGCAGTCCTATTATTTAACATTTACTAGAATTTTTGAATTTGGCTATTTGTTATTCGGCCTAGACCTTTAATGATCACTACATCAAAGTGTGAAAGCTGCAAAATGTACATAGATGGCAGCTTTAGAGTATTTTTGTATAGTGTTTAAAGTTTTCAAAAGGAATATAATAACCATTAATTAATTGTTATGTTAGGTACTTTCATGCTACTATAAGCATGTATGACTCGACTTAAAAATAACAGTGATACTCTAATAATGTGTCTTACAAATTATGGTTGTCAAATATATATATATACACTTCTGGTAGGGCAAAGGGATTGGAAAAATCATGTTCATTAAGAATTGTGTTTATTGTTACCGTAATCTTAATACATCACCAGCTGATTGATTACTATAGTTATTATCTGCTGAAAGCCCTAATTTTGGACCATGTTATTATTGCCATTGACCTAAAGGTCAACTTCAGATGATAAAAATATCAGTGTCCATACGATTACCAGTACATTGCAAATTGTCATAAAATTCCTATTTATGTAGGTACATAAATGTCATCGTGGTGATGTGTTCCTCAAAGAAAGAAGAAGCCTGCAGTCTGCAGTGGTAGCACCAAAGTCTCCCCATTCTGAATAGCTGCTGAAGTTTGATTCTGTATCCCTGATCTCCCAAAAGAGTTCCCAACATTTCAGTATAAAGTCCCGACAGAATGTTATCACGTATCTTAGATTTGTATTGCTTATAATAAATGTTATGATTTTCGTCCAGGAGGGTTTCATAATAAAGTCAGCAATCACATAAGACCAAAAGGTCTATGTGCTCACTGAATAAACTACAAAATAATATTATTAATAAATTAGCTGACCACCCAATGAAAATCTAATGGAAATTAACATTATCATGGAACAGGCCCCAGGAAGTAATTAAATATTAATGTCTGAAACAAGAGATGTTTTATAATAGTCTGTGTAAAGATTTGTATTTAAGCCAATTTGCCCATGGAGAGAAGAAGGTGATGGTGAGACCTAGACCCTGGCTGATTTACTTTTATTTTGATGTTTCAGGGGCCAAAAACACTCAAATATTTATATATTTGTGTGTGTATAAGTTTGTGTCCTTGAACCAACAATTGTGGTGTGTGGTAATTCATTTAGGGATCACAGTGTTTTGGCAATTAGTCTTTTGATGGCTAGAATTCACATGTGCTTGTATGATGTCATCTCATTCTCAACTTGTTATTTTTATAATTAACCTAATGTTGCCATTTCTTGTACTTTATATTATTCCGAATAATATAAACTACAAGAAATGGCAACATGAGGTTAATTAAAAAATTATTCCTATACATAGTAATTACTACGTATATCCCTGGCTATTTCCTTTCACATGTTTCTGTATTTATCTTTATATTATATTTTGTTTACCTTTATGTACAATTTGTTGATATTTACTCATGCTAATTTTATGTTTTGTACGTTTGTATTTGCACATAATTATCAAAATCGCTGTAAGGTCGTTATACTCTTGAAATACACCTTTAGTTTTTCTATATTTAAATGAATAGTAATCATTTTTAATCTCTTGAATACTATGACAATACCAAAATGTGATCAACTTAGTGTTTAAAGTAGACTACTCTGTAAGTTTATTCTGATCCAGTCAAGTAAGCATGTTTCTGTTAGATAAGCTATCTAAAGATTTGTTTTGTGCCAGATTTACACTATCTAGCATTCTTTTCTAAAAAAGAGTGGTATTCTTAAATGTTTTAATTAGTTAATTTTCAGTTGAATTAATACTGTAGTATGCTCATGAGCAATGCTGTCTTTTTTATCGTGTAGTAGCAGTTGCGCCGAGTAGCATTTGCGCCGCGGATTAAATCGTGCTTCCAGCGCCGCGGAGTTTGATTAGTTCAATGATGCAGAAGTGACGAGGGTCATAATTACTTTACACATTACTTGACTGAGTTGCTTGTAAATAGTGTCGTTTTCCATACTCCTAATTAACTTGTACTAATAGTGCACTATTGCACATAAAAAATGATTAAACCCTTGTATACCCCCACATGCAGTATTGAGTTAGTATAGATATTTTTCCTGAACTATAATTATTATAACCAGTAGACATTTCTACTTATCACATTACTAATTTAGGAGAAAGGGGGATTTTTGTTTTCCTATGAAGTTTTTAGAGAATAGTTGCACCAGGATAGTCTGCAGTGCTATGTGGAATGCAAACAGCTCGGCATATTGGTATTAAGGGGATTTGCTAGGGGTATATATCCCCATACCTTTCGTAGTAACCCACTCCCTTATGTTACCTTTGGTCACTCAATGGTGTTGTCATTGTCAGTTTCGAGTAGAATTTAGCAGAATGAACATCGTAGAATCCACAAAGAAGGGCTCAGTTTTCAATCATTTCGTCTACTACAATTGACCTACGGTACATCATATCATCGATATAAGCTTCAGTAGATAAGAATGCAACAATAAGCTACAATAACACATTTCTGAAACCTCTAACCGAATAAATGAATCGATAAATAATTTCGAACTATGCAATTGCTTACAATCGACATTTACAACTCTTCACAACAGTTGACTTGTACTCCCTAGGGACTAAAAAGGCTTTTTACCACTGGTGATTAAAACGTTATATAGTTTAGACCCATATGGTTTCGTTTTTTGTTTGCTATGTAAAGGTTATACATCGAAGTGAAGGATCACGGGTTCATACATAAAACCCCATTATAAAATGGTTTGTCATAATTACAGGTTCTAAAAAAGTTAACCATGTAAATAAATCAATAACTTGAGGGGGGGGGGGCAAGCCCAAAATGACACTTTCAGCTACCATTCGTCCCTCTGCTATATCATAAGATGTACAAGGACACCTACATCGAAAACATTGGTTAATCAAAACGGGTGAAAAATGGTATCAGGTACACAGTTTCATTGTGTGTTAACACTTAGCTAAACTAAACAGACAATACCCCCGCCGCAGCAAACCTGCCGTCTAAGCGAATTTCCATTTGTCTGAACGAGTACCTAGGTTAGCTGTTACAAGGAAACTATTAAAGTGGAGTTTTAGTAAAATGTGGAAAGCTTAGTCTAAAATAAATAAATTTGCCAAATTTGATCAAAATATATCCATAAACAAGCAAACTAAAATTACTCAAGTTATCGCGTTCACGGACGTATATAAATCTATACAAAATGAAAAAGTAAATTGGTCACGGGCCTAGGTCTTACGGTGCCACCTACGGTAATAGCTACTTCCCTACAGGGAATTCGCTAAAAACATCCATTTTTTGCGAATTTAACATTATGGTACAGAAGACGTAAGTATCATTAATTTATTTATATTATACCTATATGTGTAGGTAAATAACAACAGGTTTCATTCCGATATTGGTGGTTCGTAAACTTAATCAAGGTGATTCAACCTTACACATTCATTCCAAATTTAATCCAAATCGCACGAGAAGCGATAAGCATAGGCCGGGAGCGCGCCCGAGTTCACGTGCAAACCTCGCACTGTCAAGTTGCTGATTTTTAACATATTCGTGGGAATGGATGGGGATTTGTAATGTTTATTGAGTTGTACAATAGTATTGAACATTTGCATGGGCTTGTATAGGCCGAAAGCAGGGTCATTAGAAAATGGCTAAAAAAACTCACCCATGTTATTCTTATGAATGGAGAAAAAGTGCCTGAAGTGAGGTCATATTACTATATTATACCTACCGTACTTTACATTTAATGGGTCAGTAAATGAAAGAATTAGCTTTTTTAGCTTGATTTCGAATATAGTATATGAGGATTATATGTAGGGATATGTAGGCAAAGATCAGGATTTTTGGAATTAGTGGCAAAAAAATGATCCCCATGTTATTTTTATGGTGAAAAACGCCTAAAGTGGGATATCTTTGTGGTATTGCCACTACACGTTTTATAGAGTTATTTTGTAAACTTAATATGTACTTGTATTTCTAGACTTAAGATAAACTTGATATAAGGCCTGTCTCAACTCCCAGGCTTCACGAAGCGCGATGTATTACTACCAAACCTGGTACAGAAACAAACTATTTTTTTTTTTTCGTAATTTCCTCTCTTTTGAGTTATTGGTAATTAATTGGTTTTAGGTAGCCCTTATACTGAAACGGCGGAGTGTACTGTGTATTGTTGTCAACCAGTGAACGATATTTGCAGATATTTTTGGTGGCATCAATTTTGCAGTTAGGCCTATTAGATTTAAAATTATGTGTAACCATTAGCATGGGCCACGTGGTGACAGCATGCAACCACTTTACGCTGAAAGTAAAATGTGGTAGGAACATAAGTCCTCAATAATCCTATTAGTGCAGTTGATTGGTTCCGCCATTGTTAACCTGTCAAAACTGCTAACCCTCATTTAATTAGCTGGCGCGGCGCTGGTGCTACGCGGCGCAAATACTACTCGGCGCAAATACTACTCAACCCTTTTTTATGGACCCCGAAAAATGTAGCAGCAATAGCAATTGAACTTTAACAAAAT